CAAAAAAATCTCAGCTACAGCAAAGAGTGTTGCCAATTCTGTAACGCTGCACTTAGTTGAAGTGAGCTTGCTTTTAAAAACTGACGGGAGTGCAGTAAAATGAAATCACTTACTTTCTTAAGGACATGAAACTTTCATCATCCAAGGTCATGAAACTTTCTACACAGGAGCTGAGTTCAAAGTGGTGACTCCCACTGAAGATCGTTGTCTCCTTGAGAAGTTTTTCTTTTGGATCGTAAAACTGAAATTTGCCAACGAATCTCTTCAACAGTATTATTCCATCTTCCTCCACTTGCACAACATCGTACTGAAAAGGCCTGCGGAAGCCAATGCTGTATGCCTTCACCCACACACAGTTATCGTAATCCTCCAACAACCACACATCAATTTCCGTTGACCCTGAGCATTTCGTACACAACAGTTCCCGCAGCTGCTTCAGACTAAACTGCCAGAAATCATTAGGAGAATATTGTGAGAAATATCTAGAAGCGGGCATTGGTAGAACTGACCTTATGTTGGATTTCGGATGTGTTTATGGCTTCATACACCATAAGCATACTGTCATAACAAACCCAAAAAAGGCGGCTTCCTGACAGCCATCTGAGCCAAGTGGGAAGACCTCACAGCTACTAAAGGAATCATAAGCCCCTTGACCAAATATATAAAACACCTTGTATTCCCCTATAGAAGGAATCTAGGCAAATGCCACACACTGACCCCTGCTGTGGTATCATGAAGATTTCTCAGGTAAAGTTATCTGCTCCTTTTTCGTCGGATTTCAAATGTAAATATGGTCAACTTCATACATGCAGACTAGATCGAGGCAGGAGAAGACGAGCTTGTGGGAGCGCACTGCTCTTAGTGACATTTCTGTGATTTCTCGGTCTAGGGTTTTTTTTTTTCCTGCTACTCACTTATTTAGCATGTGAAAGTGGATTTGGCGGTATTGTCCATCGAATTTGGGTGTTGTTACGAAGAGGAGAGGGTTCTGTTTGATTTGTTGGTGATGGGAGTTTTTGAAGGAGGGGCTGAAGATGAGAGATGGCCAAGATTTTGATACTTGTTTTGTTGAGTTATTTAGATAGTAATTAGTCAATGTTGTAAGGACCTATTTGTAAGAGTGCTCTTATATAAAAGGGGTATCTCTCTATGAGAGAAAAACTAACCCTAATTTTCATCCAAAACTCTACGTGGTATCAGAGCCAATGTGGCGGCTCCTCTAGCGATACCCTCCGCTGGTGAAGGTCGTCATTTTTTTTCTCATCCTCAAAGTTGGGATCTTTAGCATACAAAGCTCCCTTAGTCATATACCCATCAGCTGCTCATCCGCTCCAGCATCCAAAGTCCGGCGTTGCAGGCGGTGGT